GAGTTTATAGCGAAGTAAAAAGTCAGCTATTATAGGATTTGATCATTCTCTAGCTGTTTATTTCTATGATCTTTGCATTGAATTATCTGGTTTCCAGAATTCTTACCACAAGTTTCTTGGTTTCTCTGAAATGAATTGACTTGTTGTATGCTGGAAACTTTATTTTTTATAGCGTAGGAATTTTGTAAGAGGCCCTTGCAAATAAAATTTATGTGCATCATGTACGAATGTGCTTAGTTTGGAAAATTGGTTTTGTAGGTTGGACAAATAAGAGAAGCATCGAACAAGGCAAATACTGCAGAACTTAAGCTGTTTTTGGAAGTAGAGCTGCTGGTAAGAACTCCTTGGTTGCAAGTTTAAATTTTAAGGCCTTTATTATTGTTCAACAGGGAAGATGAGCTGATAGTTTTTTACTAATTCTCGACAAATAGGATGAACGTCCTGTTCCCCCTCCTGAAAAATCAAAAGAAGATATTCTTCTTTTCTTTAAGCTTTATGACCCCGAGAAGCCAGAGTTAAGGTAATATTGTTTTCCATATCTTCTTTATTTGCTCTGAGTTCTATGTAAGGTGGTCTGCCACAAATTTAGTAAATACTACAAAAACGAGGTCTTTCTTTTTTGCTTTTTGTGATCAGACAAGTTCCTACCGTTTTCTCTTCTTTCGACTTTTTGGTTTTTGTTTCTTATCCACTTTACCTCAGTTTCTTTTGTGATATGTTTTTCTTGTGCTACTAGGTATGTTGGCAGACTCATGGTGAAAAGTTCCAACAAGCCTATGGATATAATTGGAAAATTGAATGAAATGGCTGGTTTTGCTCCTGATGAAGAAATAGAACTTTTTGAGGTTTGCTACCGCTGGTGCCTCTTAACCTTAGCGGTATCATGCTTATTTAACTAACTCTTTGTGGGACTTATTTACAGGAAATCAAGTTCGAGCCTAATGTGATGTGCGAACACCTGGATAAGAAAACCTCATTCAGATTGTGTCAAGTAATGTTTCACTCTTATCTATAGGCAGGTTTCAGTCTCGTATCTCTGTTGTGACATTGGGTTTCTTGCTTTAGATCGAAGATGGAGATATCATTTGCTTTCAGAAACACCTCGTTAACAAGGAGATTGAATGCCGTTACCCAGCTGTGCCTTTGTTTCTTGAATATGTCCAGAATCGGCAGGTATAATTTGACTAAGCACTGGTTCGTAAAGTCAAGCTTGGTAGAGATAGTCCAAATATAGTTCTCTAATGATAAGCTTTCTTTCTTGTGTCATATAAGTGTTTAGTGATATAGGCTGCTCTGTTAGAGTTCCTGCCGCAGCTGTAGACTGTACTTGTCATGTTATATTTGTATGACAAGTTCCTAAGATATTGATCGAATCAGACCACAATGTATGCTGATGTGCCGCTAATTCTTTCTATTGACTGGGTTGCTACTTGCTAGTATGCCTTATTCTGAGCATTTGTGACCCTTTGCGGTTTGTGTTTTTTTGTAGCTGGTCCGATTTCGTTCTCTGGAAAAACCTAAAGAAGATGAATTTGTTCTGGAGTTGTAAGTATCTTTGTGGACGCATTTGTTACAGCTGATTTCGGTGAGGAAATAATCATCTTTTGTTTCTTAGGTCGAAGCTGCACACTTATGACGATGTCGTGGAAAGAGTGGCCCAGAAGCTTGGTCTTGACGATCCATCCAAACTTAGGCTTACATCTCACAATTGCTATTCCCAGCAACCCAAGCCTCAGCCTATCAAATACCGTGGAGTAGACCGTTTGTCTGATATGTTAGTTCACTACAATCAGGTAATTGCCGTGAAGTTCTGTGAATTATTTCTTCTTCTTACTGAAGAATGCATGTTTGCTTATTGAATCTTATTTTTTCAGACATCTGATATTTTGTATTATGAAGTTCTGGACATTCCTCTTCCAGAATTGCAAGGTCTTAAAACCTTGAAAGTTGCTTTCCATCATGCCACGAAGGAAGAAGTATGTGTACAATGATTCATAGTCTTTCTTTTGTATATTGGAATATTTTTCAAGCATTTAACCATCATTTACAGGTGGTAATCCACAATATCAGACTACCTAAACAAAGCACAGTCGGGGATGTTATTGATGTACTTAAAACAAAGGTGAGTCGATTCCCTTGAAATTTCTTTATAAAATGTCTGTCTTAGTTTTAGTATGTGTTTTCGTCCTTTTAATTGATCTCTTGCTTGCCTATTACTTTAAATGAGAAATTGAAGGCATCCGAATGATAGGGTGCTTCTAATTCTGACCTCCATGTTTTTGATGCGGAGAAATTTTCAGTTTTCAGGCTTTGGGATGCAATGGATTTCGTCATATAAATATTATTTCGATGTTTATGCAAGTTAATTTAAAATTATGTGTAATACAGGTGGAGCTTTCTCATCCGGATGCAGAACTGAGATTACTTGAGGTGTTTTACCACAAGATCTACAAGGTAACAAGCGGCTTCTTATCTCTTACATTGTATTGTAGTCAATGATATCATGGTCCTAAGATGATGGCTTCTGACTAATGTCCCGTCTCAAAGTATAACGAACATTAAATCAAGGTGCTTGTATGCCTTGCAGATTTTCCCCTTAACTGAAAGAATTGAGAATATAAACGATCAGTACTGGACTGTGCGAGCTGAAGAGGTATATTACTGGGCTGCGCCTTCTATTTATTTTAGTTTAATCTTCAAAGATGTTTGGTATTCACGAAGTCTGAGCGGTCTTGCTGTTCATTAATTATTGCTGGTTTTCTTTAGTTTACTTGTAGCTTTGTTTCCCGTTGATGTCAGAATAGAATTTGGTTTTTAACGTCAGATATTAAACTAATGAGATTGATTGTTACTCCAATATGCTAACTTATTATATCTGAATGATCTCAGATTCCGGAAGAAGAGAAGAATATTGGTCCAAACGATCGCTTAATTCTTGTGTACCACTTTGCTAAGGAGACTGGACAAAATCAGGTGATGATCAGCTATCAATTTTTGTTTATCTAACTGTTTACGATGGTGGCAAAATTTCATATCAGTATCAATGTTTGTTTGTTCCTCAGCAAGTGCAAAACTTTGGGGAGCCCTTCTTCTTGGTAATCCATGAAGGTGAAACTCTCGAAGAAATCAAGAACCGGATCCAAAAGAAGCTTCATGTATCCGATGAGGACTTTGCCAAGGTATGCACAGGCCTGAGTAATGATCAAAGCTAAATAAAGAATCGAAGGTGTTAATATTTGTGATTTTCTTACAACTTTTTTCATTCATAATGTAGTGGAAGTTTGCGTTTATGTCAATGGGGCGTCCGGAGTACTTGCAGGACTCAGATGTTGTTTACAATCGCTTTCAGGTTTTACTTCTTTTCCAGAAAAGCTCGTTATAATATCTTGAGATCTGACTAATCTTTCCTTTTCCTTTGGGATTGAAGCAGAGAAGAGATGTGTACGGTGCTTTTGAGCAGTACCTGGGGTTGGAGCACACTGATACCACTCCTAAGAGGGCTTATTCTGCAAACCAGGTAACCGATTCTTTTGCCTAAGAAAAGGCATAACCAAAGTCCCTCGTTTGTTAATTTGTTTGGTTGCATTATCTTTGTAGAACCGGCACACTTATGAGAAGCCGGTTAAAATATACAACTAGCCGGGAAAAACAAATGTCATCAAGACATTGTGGCAGCAACGTTGGACCAAAGGCATCGAATAAGAAAGTGGAGGGAGAGTGGGGTGTGATGATGAATGACCGTAGGGTGTTGTAGAGAATTTGGTCTGATAGGGTTTTGGGTCTGCGCATTGATAGTGTGTTTTTTTAATGTTTCAGTATACTTTGTGTTAATATATGCAATGTGTGAGAGACCATCGGCACATCATGCAATTTTTATTTTCGCAAAAAAAAAGAATATGAAAGCCCATCTGCTTGGATTCGGGAGCACGGTTTGGCTTTCAGAGCTTATATAGTATACCGAAACCTTTGTAATTTTTAGAGATTTGGGGTTTAAGAATATTTTTTCTGACTAGCGATTGTAAAGGTTTTGCAATTGTCGTCATTGTTTGCTTTGTCGAAATCTGAAGGTATGTTTCCAATTCAACAACTCAAAAGGCTTCGATTTAGCTAGTCTTGAGGAGGCGGGAACAGAGTAACCGATAAAATTCGAGTGTTGTAAGAAATGTGTTTATAACAAACGTTTCCTCAGTAAAACGTATTTAGAGAAACTCGAGAACTATTTTTGGTTCCTCTTAATAATGGAAGATATGTTAATTGTTATGTTGTTTGCGTAACATTGTATCTCTAGTCTTGTTAGGTCTCAGACTATTTTTCGTTTGTTTGTTAAACCCCCAAGTTTCATTTAAATACAAAACAGCAGATGCAAACAATTTTTATCGTTTACTTATTACAAAGTGGTAATCTAAATATAGGGGAGAGCGACGTGTTGTGTATCTTTAAGCACCCAGTCTTACCAGCATTGAGGTATTTTCCAATCTCAATCACTAAATGTTGACTTAGCAGAATAGGTATAGTGAAGATAGTGATCTCCGGATCTCTAAAAATTCTTTGGAGCCTTCTTAAGATGTTCAGTCCTTGTTTTTGAGCTAAATACGTTTTATCCGTTGTGCATGATAGATAACCATTCTGTAAAGGAGGATAAGATCATTTGACTGTTAGTGGAAATGCAACATAACGTCTTCTTCTTATCATTAATTAGATGAGATTTTCAAAGACAAATCGTAGATTTTCTTAAAATTATCCAACAAGTCATAAGAGGAGGAAAAATCGATATGAATGACTTGGTCACATGTGACGAATCAGCCGCAAATCAAAACAATACAAAACGTGGGATCCCTCTATTCATTGATAAATAGATAATCATCTTTCACTCTACAAGACTTACCGACTTATATTACAAAAATACCCTTTGTTACTACCATTTGCCTCTATATATTTCAAGCACATGACACTGATAACACATTATCCAAAAGCAAGATTACTTAGAAGAAATTAAAAAAATGGGGTCTCTAGGAGAACAGCCACAAGTAGCAGAAGACTGCATGGGCTTGCTTCAACTCCTAAGCGACGGCACCGTTTTAAGATCCAAGAGCATTGACCTTATCACTCAACAAATCCCACTCGTTAACCACAAAAGTACTGTTCTCTTCAAAGACTCAATCTATCACAAACCAAACAACCTTCAACTCCGTCTCTACAAACCCGTTTCCGCCTCTAACCCTACCGCCACCGCCCTCCTCCCCGTCGTGGTCTTCTTCCACGGTGGTGGCTTTTGCTTTGGCTCACGCACTTGGCCTCACTTTCACAACTTCTGTCTTACTCTTGCATCCTCCCTCCACGCCCTTGTGGTCGCACCTGACTACCGTTTAGCACCAGAACACCGCCTCCCCGCAGCCTTTGAGGATGCGGAGGCAGCACTTATGTGGCTCCGGGACCAGGCTGTTTCCGGTGAAGGGGACCACTGGTTTGAAGGTGGACCGGGAGTTGATTTTGACCGGGTTTATGTCATTGGTGATTCTTCTGGTGGGAACATAGCTCATCACCTTGCTTTCCGGTTCGGTTCAGGTTCGACCGAGTTGAGTCCGGTTAGGGTTCGTGGTTACGTTCTTTTGGGACCGTTTTTTGGAGGGGTGGAGAGGACAAAGTCCGAGGATGGCCCGTCGGAAGCTTTGCTTAGCTTGGATTTGCTTGACAAGTAAGCTAACACTATATTTTAAAAATTTCTTTAGAAGTAACAAATATATTTTAGTTGTTCATATAAGCATTAAAATGTATACAAATTCATTGAAATGTCATCCATGACTTCATTGATTATAACCTAACTATTAACTATTTAACTACATCATGCATAATATTATATAGGGATTTATGTCTTTTTCATATTATCTTCCATCAATCATGCTCCATATAGTACATGTCTTATTTTTCTCTAAATTGCATGTGATCATAGTTGAATATATGTAATGTAATACATAGATATTTTTTCTTAAGTAACCCGAACATAGAATACATTTTTCTAAAGATCCGTTCACTTAATACTAAAAAAATATGATAAATATAAGTTACATATACTTATAATATCGAATTCGCAGACTAGTTCAAAGGAGAACCAATTCGTGATTATGACACAAATAACACAAACTTTCTAACGAAAACGACTTTTCCTACCGGTATACATTTATTTTGCTTGAGAAAACATTTTCTTGAGCAGGCAAGAAAAATATTTGATATATTCATTTATATATCGTTTCCTCTTATAATCAACTTAGCGTGAAATATAACAATATTTTATGGTTTAACTAGCTAAAGTGTGATTAAGCCCATCATATGATTGGTAAGATATTACGTCAGAAAATTAGTCAATGTGCTTAATCTACTAATACTCCACTATTTGATTCGTCTCAACTCATTCAACGTTAAAATAGCTTTTCAAATGTATGGGTCTCCGATCACAGTGGCTTCACGATTCGGTCTTCAAGAAAACATCCAGTAGATGGACGACAACGTGAAAATATCTTGTATGGAAAGTAATCGCATTATTTTTTTTTCAAAAAAAAGAAACCTTCTAAAGAAAATCATGGCAACCAATTAAAGTCCCTACCATTTCGCGATTCTACAAAATACTAGTTTAGGATATTGCTTTAGTGAAAATGTTTTAAAACTTAAAGAACTAGTAGGAAAAATGTGAATCCATAATCGTCTATAGCTACACAAACTATAGTTAATGTTGCAAATTCATGTAAATTTAGGTCACCTTTCATTTCTGAGTACATATGGATTAGTGATTGATGGAACAAAACGAAAATCAGATATCAAGAACAGTAGTCGGTATATCTGGAAATGGGGATAGTGCGTCATGCATTATCCTCGTTTCCTTTATTAACATCTTAACTTTGCTTATGATTCTGAGTCGTGACCATCATTGCACACAAACATAGATAAAACCAAATGCAAACAGGGTCTCACGTTTTAATATGTGATATTTAGCATATTAGAATGTGCATATTCATTTATTTATGTTTATCAACGTGGAGTCATTGGGATCACATATCATTTAAGTCTTCTCACCAAATGATGGTTTCTCTTTTTCTGTTTGAACAATGAAATGATTGACCCGCCTTGTTCATGGCTATTGTCATAAAGCCATATGCATAGTGAATTTTGGTATAGTCAATGTCATTATATAATATTAAAGTAAAGGATTAAAGTTTAACTTGTTGAAGGTTTTGGAGACTTTCACTACCAGAAGGTGCAACAAGGGATCATCCCATGGCTAACCCTTTTGGGCCGACAAGTCCTGCACTCGAACCAGTTAGCATAGAGCCAATGTTGGTGATCGCCGGTGGCTCAGAACTCCTAAGAGATAGGGCCAAAGAGTATGCATATAAATTGAAGAAGATGGAAGGGAAAAAAGTAGATTACATTGAATTTGAAAGCGAGGAACACGGTTTCTTCAGCAGCAATCCATCTTCTGATGCTACGAAACAGCTTCTTCGTATTATTGGAGACTTTATAGACAACTTTAATTTCTAGTATATTTTACCATTTTGCTTGTTGTAGGCCACTGAGAATTTACATCAATTTGGATTCCATCTCAATAAGTTTCATTGGTGAATCATAATATATATATATATATATAGAGAGAGAGAGAGAGGACGGATACAATGTTTTTGGTTTCGTAATATCCTTATACATTGTGTCCATATTGAATGGTTTACTTGTCTGTCTATGGTGTTTTTCATTCTCTTATTCTTATGTTGTTTGTTAACTAATTGCCACAAGAGGTATGTCCAAATTTATCTTAATAGTTATATGTGATCTTCCATTTTGACGTAGTAAACTCAAACACATTTGAATTTACCAATACCAAGTATTCCCTATAATATTTCAAATATATGAACTTGATCCACAAGAACAAGATCCAAAAGAAAAAAAACATAATCTCTGATCAACAACAAGGTTAGATCATAACTTTTTCACTCTCAAATGACATGAGTAGATTAGAAAGAGCAACAAACATCCAATACAAGAAAGTATCTATGGCTTCCACAAGAACATGATCCAGAAAAAAACATAATCTCTACCCCAACTGAGTAGATTAGAAAGAGCAACAAACATCCAATACAAGAAATTATCTATGGCATCCAAAAGAACAAGATTCAGGAAAAAAACATAATCTCTGCCATAACTGAGTATTTTGTTGAAGAGCTGTGGCATCAAGCTAAATAGCTAATGGTTTGGACGTGGAAGTGGCTGTAAAAAAACAACAATTAAGAGTTTATAAGTAATTCTCTTGTAACAAACTAAATATAAACAGTTAAAGAGTTATTACTTACATGAAACTGGAAATACCGAACAATTGGATTAGGTAGATCCTCATAATCAGTTTCGTTGAACAGTCTTAATTCATCAGGGGTAAGAGTGAAAATTTCATGACCCCTTCTTCTTTGAAATGAAGGAAACCATAAACAACAAGCAGCAATAGGACAATTGTGCATTTCTTTTATCATTCTAGCTGCATAAGTTTCGGTTGGTGGTTCATTAGAGTCGCAGATTTAAACTTTTTTTCACAATGAAAAAGAAGATTTTTATCATTTGACAAAACACATATCACTTTGAATAGTTTTATTGAGCAATACAAGAAAATGAGAAGCGAGACTCACATCAGTATCTATAGGATCCTCTATGGACGCATCACCTTCAGCAACCACATGTGATTGATCAGCTATGTTGGGAATTGGGTGTTTGTTAACGAATAGAGTTTCATTCCATACAATCTTAGATCAAATTTAGTGCAGTTTGAGAATGAACATTTTCTTATGACATTCATATCTCTAGGAAAACCAACAGTTCAACATGTATTTCCTAATTGACGCCCTCTAGAATTTAACCAATATTCGAAATAATTCATATATTAAAGATAACAATAAACTCAAAATGATAAACGAGAATAATGACCATCAAAAACAAAATCCAAAAAACTAGCACCATGTCACAAACATAAACAGTTAACCAATTAAGCAATATTAAAATAATCATCAAAATAAGACATAGAAACAAATATATTTTGAAGATAACAATCAAAACATAATGAGAAATGAAAATTATCTCCATTAGAACAAAACCCAAACATTAATCACTAAAATAAATGATTAAAGCGATCAGAGAAGTTTCTAAACGCTCATGTAAAAAGAAATTGCCAAAACTTTAAAAAAATGCTACTACTATGGAAAAGTTAAAGAAAATCGATTAAGAATTTTGTTCACTCTTTCAAAAATATTTGATAAGTAGATTTTTAAAAATGTAACATTATTGTTCAACTCATACACACAAGACTATATATCCATAAATCATGCAAACAAAAAAAAAAAATATTTTTATCAGTATTGTTACACATGGATTTTATATCACTTGCTCTCATGGCTTTAGTCAAATGGTTAGAACGGTATAACTGGCAATTACTTACCATCATATTAAATATTAGTTGATCCTATAATGTAATACGAGAAGTAATCAGAGTAAGTATATAGTATGTATATTTACCTTAGAAAATTGATTAATTCTAAGTTTGCTAGCTAAAGCTGAGCTACTTTACCAATCCGACATCATTGCACGTTTACGGAATTGTAAAAGACAACAAGACATGCATTAAAGAAAATCCTTTGCCAAAAGAAAAACAAGACATGCATTATAATTATTACCAAACTAAAAGACGGAATAAAACTTGTTAAATTAATCAATGACTCTTACCAGAAAGATTTGTATTGTAAATAATTTCTTAAAGCTACATTATACAATCTTCTTTTTGGTTTTATTAATCCTCTGGCAAATTGGGTTGATTTAGTTAAAAAAACATTACTTGAACCTTTTTTGTCTCTGTGATTGAGGTGTAAGTTTTATCATCTTACATTATTGTAGCAATGACCCACCAAAAGAAACATGTTCTTCTTCTTTTGTTATGAATAAAACCCATCAAGAAAGACTTTTGAAAGCTAACCAAGAAAGTGGCTTTTTGAAACTCTTTATTTCATCTTGAGATAGGCACCCACACGTTAACACATTACGTTTTGTGTCTTTTTATTCTCGTGCCTGATCTTATCTTTGGTTTTGTTCTTGATTTCTCTTTTTTCAGTTTCTTGAATTTGCAATGAAGGGAGTGAAGGAGAGATTGGCCAAGAAAATCAAACTCATCACAATTGTTTCGACTTTGAAGAATAGCATTGATCGAACAATCCATCACATAAGAGACGAAGTAGTGGCTGAATCTGGTCAAAGCAGAGGTTGTGTTACACCAACAATACTAGAGCTTGAAGATGTGGAAGATCAAGAACACGAACAAGATCTTCAAGAAGAAGAAGAAAGAGAGATTCTCTTGGAGTTTGAAGAGAATTGCCCACCTGGAGGAGAAGATTCGGTCGTATTCTACACGACGGGACTACGAGGAGTGAGGAAGACATTTGAAGCATGCAGAAGAGTAAGATTCTTGTTGGAGAATCACAAGGTGATGTATAAAGAAAGAGATGTTTCAATGGATACAGAGTTTAGAGACGAGATGTGGAGGTTGCTTGGAGGTAAAGTTACCTCTCCAAGACTGTTTATTAGAGGTAGGTATATTGGAGGAGCAGATGAAGTTGTGGCGTTAAACGAGAACGGGAAGCTCAAGAAGCTTCTAGAAGGGATCTCACTGGTTGATTCTCCTTGTGAATGTTGCGAGAACGAAAGGTTTTTGATATGTTCTAGTTGCAATGGAAGCTCTAGATTGATTGCAGATGAAGAAGAGACTAGTAATAATGATAATAAGATGTGGACAAGATGCAGAGAATGTAATGAGAATGGGCTTGTGAAATGTCCTCTTTGTAGTTAATGTTGTTGTAATCACTACTAGTATCTGATTTAACTTTGTTTAATGTCTGAACATTAATTTTTATTTTTATTTTCTTGTATGAACATTAAATTACCATCTTTCAAAACATTTCTGTATGAAGATTTTGCCTAGTCGTTTGTATTTGGTTACTCGAACCAAAACTCTCGCATATCCTCTCTTTTGTTTGTAATCAGGCGTAGTAGACTGAGACGAGAGGGATGTCCTCACAGGCCACCACAACGTACTTAACATTAATTCTGTTATTTTCTAGTTGAAGATAATTATTAGTAGTGACTGGTAGTAATTTTACTACCATGAAATAGTAATTTTAAAGCTAAATTTTTACAGCAACATTCGAACCAATCTTCATCAATATTGAGTTCATTATAACCGTAAATTTTGTAATTGTTTATTGTTGTTGTATGTGGAATGGTAAATATTCATCAGAAATTTTTTACCTCTAGTGGGCCTTAGGCTTTGTACCAATGGGCTTTTAAATTCTGTTTAAATTCCATTCTAGTGGGCCTTGAGATGTACCAATGGGCTTTTGAATTTCGTTTAAATTCCAATCGGTTAGTTTCGGTTGAACCGGGATTTGGTCGTGTAAAAATTACAAACTGGCATGTGTCGGAGAGAATGTGTCTTACTCTTCCATTTCGTGGTCTATCTCTCTCCTTGCGACAGAACAGAAACTGAAAAAGAGTTTCTCTCTCTCTCTCTCTCTATTTACATTACAGCAACTCATAGCCTGAAGCGTAACTCAAGGTTCGTCTCCTGTTTTTCTACACTGCTCTCTCTAGGATCGGTCGTTTTAGGGTTATATGAACTGAAAAATTTGATGAATCTGAATCTAATACACATATGCATCTCATTTGATTTGTGAACTAGTGTTTCCTTTGATCACATGGCTTCCTTTGATGGTCCAAAATTCAAGATGACAGACGGAACCTACGTTCAGACAAAATCAATCAATGTCGGATCATCAACAGACATCTCTCCCTACCTCTCTCTCTTACGAGAAGACTCAATCTCGAACTCAAACAGAGCGGTGATCTTCGACGTTAACTGGGAAACAGAGACCAAACCCTCAAAGTGGAGTCTCTCATCCGTAAAGCTAAGCACTCGAAGCCTCTGTCTCTTCCTCAAACTCCCTAACCCATTTCACGACAACCTCAAGGATCTTTACCGTTTCTTTGCTTCAAAGTTTGTTACTTTCGTTGGAGTTCAGATCGAGGAAGACTTGAACTTGCTTAGAGAGAATCATGGTGTTGTCATAAGGAACGTGATTGAGGTCGGGAAGCTAGCTGCGAAGACACGTGGGACTTTGCTGCTTGAGTATCTTGGGACTAGAGAGTTGGCTCATAGAGTGTTGTGGTCTGATTTGAGTAGGCTTGACTCGATTGAGTCTAAATGGGAGGAGAGAGGGTTTGAAGAACGTCTTGAAGCTGCAGCTATTGAAGGTTGGCTTATCTTCAATGTTTGGGATCAGTTATCTGAGTGAGTTTTAATACTTTTGTTTGTGATCTTGTGAGTGATTCTAGTGTCTTGTGTATGTTGTTTTGTTTGCTATGAATATATGCTTTTGAAGTTGCAAAAGTTACCTCTGAGTCTGACCATATATAACCTAACAATAGAGATTATACAATATAATAGAATGAATATCACATTATTCAACCAACAATAACCTGTTTTGTACTATAAACACTTCACATTTTTTTGAATTTTCTAAAGATTTGGAGTAAAAGAATGTCAAGTCTTTTTCATTTGGTTGCTAACCATAATTGCACAAAACATAAGGACCCCAAAAATGTTCTGTTTCACACCTGTAACATCATCATCCTGTTTATGATTATTTTGGACCTCTGCATATATTATAAAGATTTAGAAATGAAGAGCCAAAATAAGATGTGATTAAAGAGGCAGAGAGCTTCTCACCTATCTTCTTCACTGATACTGACACCAAAAACTTGTCCGTTTCCATAAACACTCTATCTTTGTCATTGTCAGCCACACTTATGGTTAATCTTGACATTAATCTTTGTCACTACGCAACCTCTTATTGGTGTAGGTTTGAATAATCATACTACACTTTCTCACCTTCTTTTCTCCATCTTGTCGGCCACGTTTTGCCCTCGGAACCGTATATATATAGCTTTCACTAGTAGGCCCTAAGTTGTAAGTGTGAGATTATGCAGAAGAAAAGAGAGATCTCTGAGTACAGAGAGAAGTTGGACAAGACCTTGTCTTCTCCTGAGCTCAATGATCATGAGTCTCTCAAATCTCTTCTTAGAAACCAGCTTTGCTCCTCTTCAGGTATGTCCTTTTTTTAGCTTTCATTGCCTATGAATCAACTCTTGAGATTTTTCTTTATGTTTGGTGTGTTAATTTTGTAGAATGCAATGAGAATATATTGGATAAAAGAACATCTGATGTATCAAAGCTACTTAGCATGCTTAGAAGTGTTTCCATGACGGATCATCAAAATTCTAAGTTAACCAACGATGCATCATCATCATCATCCTCACATGGTGATTGGAAAGTATGTCATTATCTTTTATGGACAAGTGATCTTGGATTGTAACGAGTTAAGAAAACAAGAGTTTTCTTTTTACAGATAAAACAAGATCTTGAAGATTGCCGTGTTATGTACCGTGAAGGGCTTGAAGGAAGTCCTTTACACACTTTGCTCGTTGAAGGTTACATGGATTCCCCTATCGAAGACTGTAAGTGTTTATTTTATTAAAATCTTTTTTAAAAAAACATAATTCTGCATCTGCTCATGTTTTAATGATGATACAGGTTTGTGTGTTTCGTGGGAATCAGCTCTCTACAAGAATTGGTTAGTGAGAGAGTCTCTAAGACTTTGGATTGTAAAGAACAGAAGATCTCATGTCTTGTATTTTATGTTACTAGGTGGCCACAGTTTGTGTTTCCACCATTTAAAATCTTACAAGGCACATGCTTGCTTAAGGTCAGGATCGGTGAACAAGTTTGTCTAGTGAGGTTTGTTACATTTAAACTATTCCTGTTGTAATCTGTGTAATCTTATGAATCTAATATTGAATATTTGTGGGAAGAAAGGATGAAGGTGCCATGGCCATTGTCAGAAAGAGAGCTTATTGTGCACTACTTCTTGTTTGAATACTTTAAAGATGACTTAGTGATCATCCTTCTGAACTCGGTATAGCAAAAACCTTCTTGTAGTGTTGTTTTTGAGCCTTACTTATAAGTTTTGGTTGCAACGTTTTAGATATCTGATTTAGATAGCATTGGAGTTTCCACTAAGGACATTATACCTGAATCAACGAGTGCAGTGAGGATTGATCTCGTAGGTGGATTTGCATTACAGAAAGTTACTTCACAGAAGAGTTTCGTCAGGTATAGTTGTCAATCATTGCAACATTGTTATTTGCCTTTATAGCTCTTATAATCTATATGTTATGTAGGGTGATAGGGGAACTTGATATAAAGCTGGACTTCGTCCCACCATCTCTTATGAATTTTATATCTAGACAGATCGTCGGTAAAGGTTTCAAATTGTATAAAAAGGTCAGAGAACCTGAGCTTTTGGTTTTGCTGTTTTGATATGTAGCTTGCTTGTGTGATGCTGTTTTCTTTACTTGAATATGTAAAACAGGCAGCTGGTTCGGTGGCGAAATTTGATGAAGATTTCAGCAGAGCTTTAGCTGATCCTTTGTACACTAATATACGTCAAGCTATGTATTCAACTGAGGAAGAAGAAACGTTGGAGAACAGTGAGGTGAATAGCAATTCTGATACAAAGAACAAACACAAAAGTGATGAAGATGCTAGTGAAAATGAACATGTCTCTTGCAAAAGAACTATTCCGGAGATTGAAGAAAGTGTTTATTCTGAGGAGGTGAATGTAAATACCAAGACTAATGGAGGTATCAGAAGACAATTTTGCATTAGTGCAGAGGTAGAACAAGCACTAGGGACTCTAGATAGAGCAATAAACATGGTTAGAAATATAAAACCGGTCCAAAAAGATGAAGAATTGCCTCCAAAGAAAGCAGAGGATGAGATAAAACAAGTAAGTTTGTTAGAGATTCCTCAAAGATCACATAGTCAAGATTTTTCAACCTCAGAGATCACACAAGAATCGAGCTATTTTAGTCAAGAAGACAAGAGAGAGAATGAAACAAGACAGGAGGATGGGATCTTAAACAAAGATAAGAACGAAAGCTTGCGAAGAAGACATAAGACACACTTCTTTGCTTTCAGATCCTGACTCTGAATGAAACTCATTGTTATGCAAGAGTGTGTGACAACATACAGTACAATTCTTTTTGTAAACTTGTTACAAATTCATAATCAAAGCTACTCTAATTATAGCTGGACCAAGCCAAATAACACTCTAATAACCGGAATATAATTAATACTAACCGGCAAAACCAAATTCATACAATTTAACCCTAACCGGTTTGGGTCGATAACAGGTGCTTAAATAGTACACGACGATCTCTCTTACTTGTCTTTCCGACAGAGAGACAAGACATCATACGAAATGAACAAAACAAAGAAGCTGGTGGCTTCAATCTCCACCCTTTTAACAAGACGAACCTCTCATCCTTCGTCTACTCTCCGGTGCAATCCACTCGCAACGTTTAGGATTAAACCACAAACCCACTTGAATCCGGTTAAACCCTTGGCGCTTCTCCGATTTTCCGGGAGAGCTTTTTGCTCGGGATCTTGCGACAAGATAAGCTCCTCCACGTGCTGGAACTGTGGTTTCTCTTCGGACAAATCTGCGTTCTTGTTCTGTGACTCGTGTCGCAGCATTCAACCTGTTGATGATTCCGTCGACTACTTTCAAATCTTCGGCCTGTAAGTATAATACTTACACGCTTCGTTGATTACAAAAAGGCTGTTCAGACAGAAAGATTCTAACTTTATAGTTAGTTTCAGTAGCTGATCACTTTGAAAAATGACATCTTTGAATTGGGTTTTGATTTTAATAACGTTACAGTTATTAGTTAGAAAAAATTTAAACTTTATATAGATTCAGTAGCTGATCACTTAGAAAAATGACATCTTTGAATTGGGTTTTGGATTTTAAATAACGTACAGTTATTAGTTAGAAAAAAATTTAAACTTTATAGTTAGATTCAGTAGCTTATCACTTTGAAAAATGACATCTTTGAATTGGGTTTTGGATTTTAAATAACTTTACAGTTATTAGTTAGAAAAAATTTAAACTTTACAGTTAGATTCAGTAGCTTATCACATGAAAGGTGGAAACTTGTTTAATAACGTTTGTCTTTCATTAGGGAGAAGAAGTATGAGTTAGATGCTGGAAGCGTTGAAGGAAAGTACAAAGACTGGCAAAAGAAGCTGCATCCTGATTTAGTTCATAACAAATCTCAGGTCTGTTTTTGTTTACTACATTGAACCATTACTTTGTTATGTGTTTTCTTACAGCAATTTCCTTTAATTGTTAAAACAGAAAGAGAGAGATTACGCAGCTGAACAGTCTGCAAAGGTGACTGAAGCATGCAGGACATTAACCAAACGGCTCTCAAGAGCAATGTATATCGTAAGCTCTCAAGTTATCTTTACAATGCTGTTTGATTTGGAGGATTATAGATAGATAAAATTGTTATTTGGTTTTTGTTTTTGTTTTTGTAGATGAAGGTGAATGGCAAAAATATTAATGAGGAAGAAACAGTAACAGATCCAACGTTGTTAATGGAGGTAAATGGATCATCTACTCTTAATAGATTAGCTCTCAATGATGAGTTTTTTTTTTGTTACCGCAAAGGAGTTACAAATAATATATTTACTTAAAAAGTCTTTATTAACTGAAAAAATGATGTCAGATGATGGAACTCAGAGAGGCTATAGCAGAAGCAGATGATTCCAAAGAGCTGAACAAGATTCAATCACAGGTACTTATAACACCCTGATTCATCTGGCTTCCTTCTGATGCTCTTAGAATCTTCAGCTTTGGGCACTGATTGAATCAAATGTGGTTTTGTTGTTGTTTTTTGTTAAGGTACAAGAGAAACTGAAGCAATGGTCTGACTCTTTTGCCAAGGCCTTTGAAAGCCAGAGATTTGATGAGGCTGTAAAATGTATTCGGAGAATGACTTTTTACGAGAAAGCTTGTGAAGAAATTGTGAAGAAGCTATGAGTAAAGTAGTCCTCCCTTGAACCATTCTTTTTGTTCATTTTCTTAAAAGCCTTACCCATCAGACATTTGAAGGAAACATATCATGATAACTAAAGTATCTTAAGCTTCATGTTTTAATTTTACCTATATTTAACTGAAGACGTTATTAAGAAAAAGATTTGATTTGGTCAGTTTGCATGAGAAAGAGAGGTCATATAGATAGATACCTTTTGCTGTGCTAGTAAAGCAGCCACTTCTGTAAAACAATACAGGAAGCATCATCGATCACATGGGAAAAGACTTGAGAGTTCTCACGACAACTAAGCTTGTATTTGTCCTTCAGACAACCAACAAACAATACAGCCATGAGCCAACCCATTTCCCATGCCCATGTGATTAAGTCAGAGACATCTAATCATAGTGACGATGATTCTGATATATGATCATTGTCTTACCAAGTGCAAATATACCTTTC